TAAGGGATTTTCTCATGTCCTCTTTGAGGTCCTCTATCATTTTCATGATGGTGCTTTTAATGTCATTCTCTTCTGGTTCATCTGCATCATGATGTTCAGGTTTACTGGTGTATGGTTTCTAGTCTCCGGTGGTGTTATATTAGGTTTTCTGTTGTTGGATGTGCTTTTACCTTGTCCTCGTCTCATCCTTTCTTCTGGTGGGTGTAGCAAGAGTTTCTTGTTCTGCTGGTGGGTGTGGGACCAAGGTTCTCTTCTGGAAGATGCAAACAGATCCATTACTCTGATGTTGGTCCTCTTCTCATGGATGGAGGTGTCACTGTTACCCGGGTGTTGGCAGTGTTCCAGCGTGCTGGGTCTTGCCGTGCCAGCAGTTGAAGGCAGAGGTTGCATGCAGGTTGCTTGTGTCAGATGACTCTGAGCAGTGACGACGAACTGGAGCCGGAAACACTTCCTGGCCTACCCTGGCCAGTGGCATTCATATTCTTGATAAGTAGTTTCTTCCATTCCTGGTACATAGATTCAAATTAATTCCATAACCTTGTGCAATTTAAAGTAACTTAAAGTACTTCACCAGCCTAATATAATGTCTTTATGGAGTTTATTTTCTTTTTTTCCTGATTCATAGAAGAAACCCTTTTCTTCACTTTTTACTAGTGGTCTCTAAATTTAGGAACATATTCAAATAATGTCACTGCACAAAGGTGTCCAATGGATCTTTTTCTGACTGTAACTTGATAGATGTAGACCTTAATTTGTATCCCTATTCCACTGTAGGTTGTTTTTTGTCTGTGGTGTGACACTGGAAAACAACTTCTTGTATGGCATATAGAGAAAGGAAGTTTCTAGCAACCTCTTGTTGCAGGATGCTGCCACTGATGGTTTAGAATCCACATGTCAATTGCCACCATACATACAATCTTTTACAAATCACAATATCATCACTATGGCATCATAGATGAGTGTCTTTCTTTCTTTCCTTCTTTCTTTCTTCCTTTCTTTCTCAGGGATTGCTTTTGCCTTAGATAGCTTAAAAAGAGGGTAGACAAGTGAAATCTTAGCTTTCTTCTTGAGGAAGTAGGAACTGAGGGTTTTAGATTTTGAACAGCACTCATTTCCAGAATCAGAACCTTTGATTTATTCTGTTACAGTTTTCCTTTGTTTAATAATCTTGGCACTCATATTCTGCAAATTGGACTTTTTAGTTTAGGCATAACTAATACAAGGAAAACTCAAGTGATTTCTACTTTCAATAGTGGCACTTTCCTTAGGAATAATCTATGTTTTCAACTGAAAATTAATTCATCTAAAGGAATTCCCTTGACTTTTGTAATTTAGATTTCTGTGTAACAAAACTAAACCAAACTCTGAATGAAATCACTGCCCCTAGGCCAGATCACAGAATCTGAATCTCTGATCAAGGGACAAGAAACTTATAACTCTCATGTCTTCCCACAACTGTTGATCATAAATTATTTAAATTATTTGGAAGCTAATGCCTCAAAACTACTATTCCCAAGAAGATGTGCACTTCCATCAGAATTTATTTGTATTCATAAATGTAGTTTGAAAAATTGGTAAAATTAAAAGAATCTGTCATTTTATGTGATAAGAAGAATGTACACTATTACTAGCACATAATTGCAGTCAGCACACTACAAGGAAAACTTGTGTTGAGAACTTTATTTTAAAAACCTTGCATTGACAGTGTAAAAATAATTTTAGGCTCTTCGCCATCTTCCTTAGACTGGGGGGTATATCTCACCATGAATGTTGAGCTGTGCAGTTTCAGTGGGTACAAGATCTACCCCGGACACGGGGGTCACTACGCCAGGACCAACAGGAAGGTTTTCCAGTTTCTTAATGCAAAATGTGAGTCCTCATTCCTTTCCAAAAGAAATCATCTGCAGATAAACTGGACTGTTCTCTACAGAAGAAAACACAAAAAAGGACAGTCGGAAGAAATTCAAAAGAAAAGAACTCATTGTGCAGTCATATTCCAGCATGCCATCACTAGTGCATCCCTTCCTGATATCATTGCCAAGAGGAATCAGAAATCAGAAGTCAGAAAAGCTCAGTGAGAGCAGGCTATCTGGGCTGCCAAGGA